TGTAAATATGAAAATGTGAAATCTTGATACATGATGACACAAAAAGTGTCTGAATCTTGATTTCTTTGTATGTTTATGTGATTGTTGGCTTGTTGCCTTTGCTGAGTACTTGAAGTACTTGTATTTGTTGGACCTTTAATTGATGCCCATCATTTTAGATGGAGAGCATCAATCTTCTTGACTCTGGACCTCAACCCTAAACTCAAGAGGGACATGGAGGACAAGCCCAAGGCACTGAGAATCCTGCTCAGCAGCCTTAGGTTGCGCCTGTTGTTCCTGCAAACAAGAGGAGGGTGGTTGAGTCTAGATCTCCAGTCTGGGATCACTTTGAAAAGATCAAAAACTCTGAAAATATAGTGGTTAAAGGCAAGTGCATTTACTGCCTGAAAGTGTTTTTCTGTGAATCTAAGAAACATGGCACATCATCTTTGAAAAATCATATGCTGGCATGCCTTAAAAATCCTGTTTCAAAGGATACTAGGCAGTCCCTTCTCACATTCAATATTGTTTCAACTTCTGCAACAGAGTCCCCTGTGGGGGTTTTGGGGACATGGGTCTTTAATCAAGAGGCTATTAGGAGGGCATTGTGTGAGATGATCATTATAGATGAACTCCCTTTTAGGTTTGTTGAGGGTCAGGGGTCCAAGAAGTTTATTCTTGTAGCTTGTCCTAGGTTTCAGATTCCTTCTAGGTGGACTATTTCTATGGATATCTACCAAATTTTCCTAGATGAGAGGTTGAGTCTTAAGAAGTTGTTTAGGGTGGGCACCTAAAGGGTCAGTTTAACCACTGATACATGGACTTCTGTCCAAAGGATTAATTATATGTGCATTACTGCACATTTTATTGATGACCAGTGGAGGCTGCAGAAAAAAATAATTTCCTTTGTCCCTGTTTCTTCTCATACGGGAGGGGGGGCATATTGCCAAAGCCTTAGAGAGTTTTTTGTTGGAGTGGGGGATTAAAAATGTGTTCACTGTGACAGTGGACAATGCTTCTTCTAATGATACAGCTATGGGATTTTTTAAAAGCAAACTGTTGTCTTGGGGTTCTTCTTCTGTTAGGGTGCAGTATATGCACATGAGGTGTATAGCCCATATCTTAAACTTAGTGGTTCAAGATGGCTTGAGGTTTGCAGATGAGTCAGTTAGGAACTCACCTGCTAGGTTGAATAAGTTCAGAGAGCTTGCTGAACTCATTGGGGTGGAAGCCAAATCAGCTTTGCAGCTTGATGTCCCTACAAGGTGGAACAACACCTACATTATGCTCAACACTGCAATTCAATATCAAAGTGTCTTTGACTCATATCATCAAAATGATCCTTCTTTTTCTACTGACTTGGGTTCTGCACCTTCTTTCCTTGATTGGGAGACTGTTGAAAGCTTAATGAAGCTTTTGAAAACTTTTTATAAAATGACAGTGAGAATATCTGGTTCTCTTTATGTCACTTCTAACACATTCTTCTCTGAGATCTCTGATCTAAGTTGCATGCTGGAAGATATGACTAAAGCTGAGAATACTGAAAAGGTAAAACACTTGTGTTTATTTGTGTAATTGTGTATAACTTGCCAAGTTGTATGTGTTTTTAAATGTTTATGCTTTCTGAGTTTCTGTATTTATTAGGAAATGGGGACAAAAATGAAAGACAAGTTTGATAAGTACTGGGGAGATCCAGAAAAATGAACCATCTCATTTTCTTTGCCAATATTCTGGACCCCAGAGATAAGGAGGAGTACATGCCTCACCAGTTTGTCCAGTTGTATGGAGATGTCAAAGGCAAAGAATGTTTTTCCAAGGTCCAAACTGCAATGGTTGCATTGTATAATGACTATGCAGCTACATACTCTGACAGTTCATCCTCTAACCAACCTGTCCAGTCTCAGCCTACTACTTGTACAGTTGGTAGGTCTGTCTCAAGGATGAAGAGTGAACTTAAAAAAAAAAAAAGAGATTGGAGAGTGGTGGTGGAAGCAGTAAGCAGACAGAGCTACAAATTTACTTGAGTGAAAATCTGGTTGAGGATGATGAATCTGTGAGTTTTGATGTTCTAAAGTGGTGGAAGAGTCATAGTGAGAGATTTCCTATTCTCTCCAAAATGGCTAGAGATGTGCTTGCAGTTCCTATTTCCACAGTTGCATCTGAGAGTGCATTTAGTACAAGTGGAAGGGTGCTTGATGCATTTAGGAGTTCCTTGACTCCTAAAATTGTGGAAGCCCTACTGTGTACCAAAGATTGGTTGAGGTTACATAATCAGTCAATCACATTTGAGGAAAATTTAGATGAGGTTGAAAGATTGGAGAAAGGTAAATATATATTTCTTAAATCATTTCTTTTTTACTTTTGTAACTTGTAAGTCTAGAACTAACTACTTATACTTAACTGTTTTGCAGAGTTACCCACTGGAGCTGGAACTACTCTACCATCAATGCTGTCATCCATTCCTGTAATGTTTTCAGTAATTATTATTTGTTTAACTAGTTATTTATCTTTATATGTTATGGTGTTGTACTGTTGTTTGCTGATGGCCTTCACAAGATGAAACTCTAAGAGTCTTAACAGTCTAAGTGGCTTGGCAACTTTCTATAATTATATTATAGAAATGTTGCCCCACTTAGAGTTGAGCAGTATTCACTATTCAGTACTGATGTCCCATACTCCCATTACATCCATTCTGGATCTCTGGTATTTCTGTCATCCTCTTAATTGATCTCTGTTCAGTTTTAATGCATTATTATTTATTATTACTTATTTTTTTGGCAATGATGATGCTTCCACCACTGTCTGAACAAATGGTATAGTGTTGCTATGTTGCTCATGTGTTATAATAACACATTTGAGCAATTTGCCACTATCCTTACTTGAAATGGAAAATTGCAATCTGAGCCTATAAGGCTATTAGCCTAATGCCCCTACAGCATAATATTGTTACTTAGTTAGCTGTTTACTACATAGGTTGTCTAATAATCTAATATTGTGTTAAGTTTTCATATTAACAGGAAGAAGTGTAGAAATGGTGATTGATGATTTGATGTCAGCAGATTTGCTGAAAAGGCCTAGACTGGATTACTGGAATAATTGCTGTCTTGCTGAAGTTTAACTGTTTAAGTGATTAACTTCGAATTTTTGATGTTTTGGAAGTTAAACACTTAAACTTAGATTCATTTTGTATTGGTTAATTTGGTTTACTTTTTGCAATTTTGTTTGTAAACTTAAATTATTTAGCTCTGCAAACTGTCCATTATGTTTTTTCAGTTTTTAATTTTCAATTATTAATGAACTTTTCCAAATCCGAATTAGGTCCGAAATCCGATCCGAATAATCCGAAATCCGACATAACATATCTGATAGGATTTTAGTTTCAAAAAGGACGGATAAGACTTCAAAATTTCAATCCGCAATCCGATCGGATGAACGGAAAAACCATCCGATCCGATCCGTTCGTTGCACAGGCCTATCTCTACGTGTGAAGTTGACGTGTAGCCAGCATGCACTATTTCATTAACGCGTGATAACCACGCACGGTGTTTGCTTCGGAGATATCAATCTTTCCGGAGCAACTTTCTTCTTTCCCCTCCCATGCTTCTCTCATCCTTTCTCCCTCTTTCCCCTTGCATCTCTCCGGAGCAACTTTTTTCTTTAATTTGGTATGCATGTATTGTAGGTAAAATTAACGTTGACCCCTCTAAAGCTTTAATTTGTAAATATTATATTAAATTATTAATATATTAATTTAACTCACAAATACACGTTATATTTTAATTTTTTGGATGTAATTCGAGTTTCTACCATCAAACATGGTGACTAATAATCCATTCTTACCCAAAGTCAAGGATTGAACCCGGCCTTGACATTTGATTAAGGATAGATGAATCTCTTACACTCAATCACACCTAAGGTTAATACACTTTTTTTTTTTTTTTTTGAAATACTCATGATTCACACATATAGTTTCGTAACTTACATAAATAGTGTATTTAGTGGTTTCACGCAATTAGAAACAATGTTGGTATGTACTCCAGGTACATAATCTATTAACTATAGATTTATAAAATCAATTCATTAAGTCCATAATAAAAACTTACTAATTTTCAATCAAATATCTCTTAAAACTATACTATAATCATGATTACATGTCAAATACGTAATTTATAAACATTTACGTATAAATTTATTTACCTACATTTCACATATTATGAATTTAGAACAAGATTAAAATTATTTGACATTATATATTTATACTTTACATATTATATACATATTGCAAATGTTAATATTGATCAAATGGGAAAAAAATGTTGCACTAATTTAAACAGAATAGCATTATTTTAGACCATGATTCACAATATAATTTGTGTGCTTATTGAGATAAAATTTAATTTCAACTTTCTTCTTTTTTTTTTAGATGCCCCCCCCCCCCCCCCCCCCCCCCCCTCTTTTTTTTTTTTTTTTTGGATGCCCTAAATGCCTTCCATAGCCCTGATGAGTTTAAATCTTGATTAGTTAGTCTTATTCTAGCTGGGATTAACTAAATATAACCTAAACTTTTACATATAACCCTTAATTTTTTTTTTAACCAACGAACAAAATATTGATGAGAGAGACAATTCAAATTGTATTCATTATCTGATAAATTACAATAATACAATACTATAGGAATTAAGAAACGTAACACACTCAAGTCTACTAAAAAGTTGAACCCCAACCCGGCCCGACAGAGCATTTGGGAGGATGTAAATAATGGGAACTCAACTGAACATGGACCACAAAGGCTACCTTTAGGCTACCTTTGCTTACTGCGCACAAGGAGCACCCCTCACTTTGAGAGGTTACTCCCACAGTGCTGCTGGTGAAACACGATCCCTGGTCATTCTTCCAAACTTTCACCTCTATGACCAGTTGATCTACCTATGCAGGCACACATAATACAAATATTACTAACACACCCCTCAAGCACAAGGTTGAAGGGAGACAACATCGAGCTTGTCCCGAAGAGTCCCAAATCAAGGAGCTGGCAACGGCTTCGTGAAGATATCGACCAGCTGATCCTTTGTAGACACAAAACTAACCACGAAGTCCCCATAGGCAACCTTATCCCGGACGAAATGATAATCGATCTTGACATGTTTAGTCCTTGCGTGGAAGACGGGGTTGGCAGTGAGATACGTTGCACCAAGATTGTCACACCAAAGAGTGGCTGGGTGTCCTGAATGCAGACCGAGCTCTCGTAATAACGAAACAACCCACGTCACCTCGGCTGATACAGTAGCTAGCCCCTTGTATTCAGCTTCAGTCGAAGAGCGAGCCACCGTGCGTTGCTTGCGGGAAAGCCAAGAGATGAGGTTGGACCCGAGAAATACTGCGTAACCACTGGTTGACTTCCTGTCAACCAGACACCCGACCCAGTTTGAATATGAAAAAACATGAATGTTGGAAGAGGATGAAGCTGATAAGCGTAAACCGTAGTCCAGCGTGCCCTTTACATAACGTAAGACACACTTAAGCAGCCACCAGTGGTCATTGGTGGGGGAATGCATAAACTGACACAGCCGATTCACCGCATAGGAAAGATCCGGTCGAGTGATAGTTAAGTATTTCAGGGCCCCCACTATACGACGGTACCGTGTGGGATTATTGAACGGTTTAGTTGATGGAGTGACAGCCTGCGTCACAACAGTTGGAGTTGCCAGAGGTTTGCAATCAGTCATACCTGCTCGGGTCAGAATATCGCCCATATAGCAGCGCTAAGAAAGCATGATGCCCTCGTCGATCTTAAGAGTTTCAATGCCGAGAAAGAAGCTCGGTGTGCCTAGATCCCTTATCTTGAAGGTGGAGGATAAGCGGCGTAGCAGCGTATCAATTAAAGAGGAATCATTGCACATCATAATGATGTCATCTACGTACACCAACAAGAATACCCGTGAGGTGCCAGGGGAGTAGTGAAATAGGGACACATCAGTTGTGGACGCCAAAAAACCTGTAGAGATTAAGAAATCATGTAAACGTTTGAACCAGGACCGAGGCGCTTGTTTGAGCCCGTATAGAGACCGCTGTATGTGACATATATGACTAGGATGTGTGGGGTCCTCATACCCGGGAGGCTATTTCATGAAGACTGTTTCAGCTATGGGCATCCAGTTGGCGGAGAGACCAACCATTCGATACCGCAAGAGAAAATAGCATGCGCACCGTAGTCGGTTTGACTAGGGGCTAAAATTGTCAAAAAAATCTTCTCCGACAACTTGGTTAAATCCTTTTGCAACCAGGCGCGCCATATAGCGCTCTATAGACCCGCCTGCTTTGTGTTAGGTGCGGTATACCCATTTGCACCCAATGATATTCATATGTGGCTCAGCCGGAATGAGTCGTCGGGTGTTATTATGCAGTAGTGCGTTGAACTCCTGATCCATGGCATCACACCATTGTGGGTGCCCCACAGCTTGAGAATAACAAGTTGGATCAACGGTCGCACTGAGAGCAGAAAACTACTCACTCGTGCCCCGTGTCACGCGACGTAGTCGCATGACGTGACCCCGTTCTTGTGGTTGAGTCCGGGTGGCATGGTTCCCGGTGGAGGTAGCTGCGACTGGACCTTCTAGAGCTAAAGATGCAGGTTCCTGAGCCAAGGGGGTGGTCATTTGCACCGGTGTGAGCTCAACGCGTGGTACCACGGGCCCGGATCCCTGGGGTGTAGTAAAGACCACTGGTTGCGGCTTATCCTGCAATGATGATTCTGTAGAAAAGGGGAAAACAGACTCATCAAACCTTACATGGCGACAGATAAAGGTCTTTTCAGTTGTTAAGTCCATGCAGTGATAACCCCTAAATGACGCGGGTAACCTAGGAAGACACAGGGTGCAGAACGGTACTCTATCTTGTGTCGATTGTATGGCCTAAGATAAGGGTAACAACGGCACCCGAATACTCGAAGGAAGGTGTATGTGGGTGGGGATTTGTATAGACGAAAATATGGACTATCAAACTGTAACACAGATGAGGGGAGGCAATTTATAAGGTAAGTGGTTGTTTCAAAGGCATAATCCCTGTGTTTTAGAGGTACCGAGCCTTCAGCGAGAATGGCTAAGATGGTTTCAACAACGTGTCTATTCTGGCGCTCAACGCGCCGTTTTGCTCGTGTATATAAGCACATGATTGCCTGTGCACAATACCAAGAGATTCAAAAGTGTTATGCAAACGGTGGTATTCACCCCCTAAATCTGACTGTATGGACTTGATAAAACACGAAAACCGGCGTTCTACCATCACACGAAACAACTTAAATATTTTATAGATATCCGATTTTAACCGTAAGGGATAAAACCAGCAAAAACAGGAGTAATCGTCTACAAATAAAACAAAATAGCAAAAACCAGTCGCAGAAATAACGAGGGCAGGGCCCCAAATGTCCGTGTACAATAAATTCAAAACATTTCTACTAGAAGAAGCTACTCTATCTAGGGGAAAACAGGTGGATTTGCCAAGTTGGCAGGCCGTACACAATCCCGACGAACCGAACTTATTCGGAGTAGCTGGACAACTTTGTAGAACACGCTGGAGGACACCACCATGCGGGTGACCCAATCTTTGTTGCCACACCACGGATAAAGCTCGAGCACTTAGAAACGCAAAATGAGACCGGGGAACTGATAACTTGTATAAACCACCCAAGGTAGGACCTTTAAGAAGAACCTCCTTGGTGGTGCAGTCCTTCACAGTAAAGAAATTTTTATGAAACTCAAAAAATACATCATTTTCATTAGTAAAACGATAAACAGACAAAAGAGGCACATATAAATTTGGCACATGTAATATATTGGACAAACTAAGAGATTTAGACACGGAAGTGATAGTTGCATGACCAACACGGGACATACCCAAACCTGTGCCATTGCCGATCCAAAGCACATCCCAGCCAGTGTACTCTTCCGATTGTGCCATCATCGTAGCGTCCGGTGTCGCATGTGATGATGTCCCGGAATCCGGATACCAAGCGTCCATCGCCGTTGCTGCACTATCATCGCCGGAGACCGCCATGTTGGCCTGAGCCGGTGGGTGGCCGATGTACCACTTGTAACAGTACACGGCGGTGTGCCCATGGGATCGACAGATCTAGCACTGGGGGGAGTATCGCCGCAACCACGTCCTTGTCCGCCGCGACCGCGACCCTGTCCTCCATTCGAGCCTTGCCGGCTGCTGGACCCACCGTCTCCACTCTGCCGACGACCACGACCGGCGAACATCATAGTGGGAGAATCGTCGGTGACCGCATCATTGCCCAACGGAAATTCATCGGAATAGATGAATTTTTGAGCCTGTAAAAAATCCGAAAGCTGTGGGATAGTGATGGGTGTACCTGAGACGGTGAGGGACGCCGCCATGGCACGAAATTCCGGCCGAAGCCCCCGAAACACGTACAAATTCTGTTCATGGAGAGACATGGGGCGGCCGGCCAAAGCGAGGTCCTCGACTATCAGTTGCGCCCGGCCAAGGTATTCTGCCGGCGAGCTGTTGCCTTGGCGGAGTGATTGGAACTGCCCGAGAAAGTTGAGGCAGCGAACGCGGGTGGAAGAGCCTAACGCCACCGTGATGGAGAGCCGATGGTGAGGTACATCACCTCGTCGGAAAGAGATGAGATGAGTAAAGAGAGGATCGACTAGTCCTGTTGAATCCAGGTGGCATGCGCAGGGTTCGGCGCCGTGGTGGAGGCTGTCGCGCCGGAAGCAGTGTCGCCGGAGGCAGAGATGGTGTTGACGGTGGCCGGAGGGCACAACAGTTCACCATCAACGTACCCAAGGAGTCTCTGACCGCGGAGGAACGGAACCAACTGGGTGCACCAAAACAGGTAATTCTGCGACTTGAGTTTGATGGACACAAAGTGGTGGACTGAGGAGAGGGAATTTGGGGTGGTGGCCGGAGCAGGTACGGCGGCGGCAGTCACTGTACGCTTAGGGTTGTTAACGAATCGAACATAAACGAACGGAGGTTGTTCGTGTTCGTTTGTTAAGAATTTTGGAGTGTTTGTGTTCGTGTTCGTTTGTTAAGGTTTTTAAAAATCATGTTCGTGTTCGTTTGTTAAGCGTTCATTAGTGTTCGTTAACGTTCGCGAACCTATTGTATAGGAGTGTGTTACGTTTCCTAATTCCTATAGTATTGTATTATTCTAATCTATCAGATAATGAATACAATTTGAATTGTCTCTCTCATCTGGTATCAGTTAGCGTTAGGTCTCCCTAATTTCATCCCCTCAACCCGATGTCGACCAACTCCTCCGAGCGTACGTAGGGGTGTTAACGAACAGAGCTTTCGGCAAACTACCCGTGTTCGTGTTCGGTAAGCATTCATTTATGTTCATTTGTTAAGGTAAACCATCATATTTAATAACATTCATCATGTACTATTTCATAATATATATTCAATATGATTATAAATCCAAACCTTAATATACATAAACACTAAACTACAAATACATCACATTTATTTCCATCCCTCTATAGTAGGTTCATAATATTCATTCTATACGGGCATAGAGTTATTCGCCAAAATGATGTCGTTTTGGCAAATATATACCTAAACCTTAATGTATATAAAGAATCAATGCCCCATCACCGGGGTTCAATACCACCATTCCAAAATGCATGCAGGCCTGAAATTGTTTGATCTTATTATGAATGTGCTGTGCAAGGTTTTGACAACCAATAAAATTTCAGGTCTATACCAACTCATACAAGACAATGAAATTTCAAAGATGACAAATCAAGAATACCTATGCTTAGTAAACGGTTCATTTTCTCTGTAGGTCTTACTTACAATGATATAGAACTCATGTTTCAGTCTAAACCAACAAAACCAGAGGAGGGAGAAAAGGGAAAAAAGAAGTATACATCTTTCATATTTCCTGTGAAGTTTAAAAAATGCCATTTCCTTTTTCTGACTCTCAATAAAAGAATCGCTACCTGGCCGCAAACCTGTGAAAAGAATGAAGAGCTAGCTAGCTGTGAGAGATTCTGCAATTTTTCAGACAAAATCCAGAAACTGTGCAAATGTTATCAGCAGATTAGCATGCAACTGAAGATTGTTCATTGTTGCATCAGCAGACATCTGTAATTGAACTGGAATGGAGGTTCATAACTTGGGTGCTGAAATCAATCATCGGGATCCATTTCCTCGTCCTGTTCCAAGGACGGGATTGCATCAGGTCCACTGTTTCCATCAGAGTCTGGCTGTCCCTCCATTTCCATTTCGTCTTCGTGAGAGTCAACCTCGTCAGCATCAATCTCCTCAAACTTTACACTTTGCACTATCTCTCTGGGGCATTGCTCTTGTCCTTCATACAACAATTGGAGACTGCTCTTCTTTTCAGAACTCGGAATCTCAGTAGACTTCACGGTTGAACAAGAACATTCTGGTATAGGGTGAGAGAGGAACAACTTGGGTTTCATCCGTTTAGATTTCTTTATAAGCCCCTCTTCAGTGATGCTTCTATTGAGATGTTCTCTTACAGTGAGAGTCCAGTTCCGTGGTGGATAGTACAGACGCTCACTGGTAGTATTAAACATCTCTACAAGATATTTCCTGCTTGGTCAAATAATCATTATCAAACAAAAGCACAAATATAGGTAATCTGTAACACAAGTAGCCAGGAACATCTCATATTGTTACAAGAAAGACAATTCACAAGTGGCCCAACAAATAAGGACAATGCCATAATGATAAGGTAATCATGAAATTGAAAGAAGAATATTTTATATCCTGAATATAGTGATGAGCATAAGATGTGAACATGGGACAAATTGCATTGCTTAAAAGTTACACCTACAAGTTCATTTTAGACCAAGCAAATAGAACCATTTGGAATACTTAAGTTTTACCTGTCAGGACGGAATGTTCTAGAAGATGCCATCATATAAAGCCGGTTTCCCATCACCAAACTGGAAAAATCAGGCCATCCGTAACCATCATTATCAAAACCTGGGAAGAACGCATCAGCTTCCACTGAAACAATGTAATCGAGAGCATCCCACAGTAAGCGGTGAGCCTGTTCCCTTAAATCATGAGGTGAAGGGTCTGGCTCAGAATCCTTTTCGGCAATCCAACCATACCAGCCTTCCTTTTCATGGCGATATATAGGTCGATCAGGAGGAGGAGGAAGAGGCCTCGGTCGAGGCCCAGCCTTGTCCCATTCTTCTTTGAGTTGCTTCTCACTTTTCACAGGCAGGAGCAGGATGGGATCTGGAGGAAGCGAGGTTTCTGGGCCAATTAAATTGGCCAGCTCAGTTCTGCTGCACAATGAAGTCCGATCCACTAAGTTGGGGTACATGCCACGTAAAGGAATTAAAATCCGCTGACCACCAAAGGATTCAGAACCTGCCAGGTATATTCTTGTTCTAGGAGGGTAACCCATTGCACGAAGAAGTAGTCCTACCTGCAAATTGTAGGCCACTAAAGCATGAGCATAGGCTTCAAAAACAAAGTGAAAGGGCAAAATAAACAGTTCTTCCCCATAATGAAAATAGAGAGCATATGAAAAACAATAATATATTTAATCATAATAGTGCAAATTACAATTTTTTTCACCAAAACTTTCTAATTCCTGCAATGATTGAATTTTTAATACCAAAAGTTGTCCAGTAGAAGTAGGGATTGTATAGCAGTCAATTGCAGGATATTCAATAATTCAATGAGGTAGCCCCACAGCTTGTGCAGTGTATATAAGAACTCATACTTTAAAATATTAGGCCATTTGGAGTCTTGGCAAATTCAGTTTTAGATAAATGAGATCCTTTTTGTGCAAAGCAGCTTCTAGGAAATGTGGTTTTCCACTTGTCGATGATGAGCAATTTCAACTTCATAGGGTAATAACTTGATAGTCAAGGTTGTTTCTAAGGTCTAGCTTTGATAGGGATCCTTATTCCATTTAGGGGAAATTGCACTTTTAATCCCCAACTTATAAGATAATAATAGATTTAACCTCTGTATTATGGGTCCTTCAAAAAAAAAAAAAAAAAAAAACTCTGTATTATGGGTGTCAAGACTTTTAGCTCCCAAGTTACCAGCACGACACTTTTAGTCCTCCTGTTAATGGATCTATCAAAACTGTCCATTACTTTTCAGAAAGTTTAGTTGACCACAACTACTAATGGAATTTTACCTATTATTTCTCTTTTTCCACTAGCACTCTAACTCCACACTTTAGTGGCTAGAAACACCAAAGATTGAGCATTGACCTTGATTACACGATAACTGATGTTAGTGATCTACATTTTGGCATTTGTAGTCACAAAGTTGGAGTGTAATTTGGGACTTTGGGTGGGTAGAAGAAAAAACAGGAGATAACATTCCATTACTAGCTAGCTCTAGTCAATTAAGATTTTTTTAAAATAACAATAAATTTTAATAGAATCATTGACAAAAGGATTGAAAGTGCTGCTTTATCGACAACTCAAAGACTAAAAGTGGTGACACCTATAACACATGAACTAAACCCACTATTACCCACTAACTCAAGGACCCAAAGTGCAATTCCCCCTTCAATTTATTCTTGTATCTTTTTTTCACTTTCCACTTTATTTACTTTTTCTGTGGCTCTCTTGTGATTCTTGTCCTCTTTGATTGACACCTTTTTCCATTAAAACCTTATTTTCTTCATAAATATATCAGGAGAAAGAGCTATTCTCTACATTGAACTATACATTTTTTCATTAGTAACTTCTTTTCATAAATATGTCAATAGAAAGGCTATAATGCATGCCTTGTAATGCCAAAAAGGCACAGTATCCTTAACTCTCAAGTTATGAAAATAAAGAACTAATTTCACTTTTGATCACTTGACCACATGTGAAATTTCACATCTGGTCATCGTGCAGCAATGATATAAATTATTGAAAAATGGGAAGCAATGGTCCTTTAGGACTGTTTTTGTCCACTGTAAGCAGTTGGATACTAGGATGGTAACTCATCTACTCCTGTCCACAACCAAAAGTAGAATTCCACGGTAATTGAGAGCAAAAAGTAGAATTGACTCAAACTACAATAAAAAAGAGATGAAAGTATGAAACAACACATTATATTATATAAATTTCATGTTTGTATATTCTTATACATGTTTGAACATTATCATGCTCTTGCCTAAACATAAGTAGTACACCCATAACCCATAATTATTCAAAAATGAATTCATGCTAATATATTTTGATCTAAGATACTTTACCCCAATTTGGAATGGTATTTTGGTTATCTTTGGATTTTTTAGTGCACTTTTCTCAACACCAAGTACCATCTGAAAAGTATTAGATGTAAAACTATACATTTATGTATTAAGTTATGTCTGAAATAATTAGTGCTTAAAATAAAGATCAATTTTACCTCTTCAGGCATAAGTGGGCATGAGCCATTTCTTCTTCGAGCATGAGAATCCACACTCAGCTCATCACGAATGCTACCTTCTTTAATCATTTGTGCTCGCCTAGATTGTATGAGCTCTGTGTGGACATCCTTAACCAGCAGAAACCATCATTAGCACTCAACAATCATATATGGAGAAATGTATTCAGCCACCAATGATCTTTAGTAGCTAAAATTCTTTTTAAGTGAACAAGGTCTCAAGAAGATAAGAGATATTGACAACAATTCTCCAACATAAGTATGAATTCAAGTTTTGTCAAAATTCATTAGTACAGGGATAAATAAAAGTAGCGGGGGTTAAGTACTTTTCAAATATGAAAGTGTGGGGGTAAAGATATTTCCAAATTTCACTCCAAAGCAGTTAATTTTAGTCCCTAAGAAAATCCAGACTACTTCATGCAATTTTTAATGTTTACAAGTAGTGAAGAGAAAAATGGGAAAAAAAATTATAATTTTAAAACTACTAAAAGTTGCAAGTAATATGGACTTCTACAGAGATTATAGAGTTGTGCATCACTGATTGGAAAAGATCAAAACACTTCCTGCTTATTAACAGAAGACAGCATGTTTAGCATTTGAACTCCACTACTACTAAATGGTTACAGTTCATTAAAAATCATGGCCAATACTATTTTGTTACAGGTTAAAATGAAAGAAAATGGTGTAAGTATAAAATGAAAGTTATGAGTTGAATAAGGTAAACTGTATAACTTTATTTGCCAAACAAAATAAACAAAAAGAATATCAAAGAGAATTTCCAATACATAAGTATAAATTCTTATTTATGTGTCAGAGAATGTCAATAAAGCCAAACTGTAGTGGATAAATATGCTTAAATTTTACAGTAGCAAATTATCCAGAAAATATGTGCATTCAGCAAGCTATCAATTAGGTTTGCTATCAACCTGAAAAAGTTCAGCACAACCATTATATGCTAGGTTGTCTCTCGTAAGCCCTGTATGATAAGCAAGGTAAGGTTGGCCTGCAGCTTGCAACCTGTGTTCAATAAAAGATCTTAGTAAGTCCCATAAATAAATAAGTAATCCCTCTTCCCAGCAAGAAGGTTTTAGGAGAATATATATTAATACAGTTTGGAAAATTATTTTAAGTGGGTATAATCATAAATGTATTAAATACATAATTAATTTAATTTCAAATTCCTATTTGATGGGCATTTTGTTCAGCCTCTAAATAACCACATTAGAGCATTAATGAATCTATTCACCAATGAATCCAGATTAAAAAACAATTTAAATCCAGAAGGGCTGAATATTTCATATCTCACCTTTCCACCATCAGCCTGCCAAGAGATAGGATTTCAGTGCGGAATTGAAGTGCATGAAATGCCACACGACATCTAAGCCTTTGATACTCAGCCAAGCTAGGTGGAAGGATGGACTGCAAAGATATGAAAGAACATTTCAAAACCACTTTTTCCAGTTCCTGCCCTATTTACATGCTTTTGCAGAGGGTACCAAGGCATTGAAGAAAAAACTAAAATGAATATTTTCATTATTTTGGTAAATCAAAATGGACAGGAAAGATGGGATTCAAGTCCATGCAAAATGTCGGGAAAGGTTAAGTCCTAACCCCTTAATGGTCAGGATCATCTAAATTTAAGGCTAGAAGAGAGAAAAGGAATGAAAGTAAGCACTGGGTTTTTTTTTTTTTTTTTTTTTTTTTTTTTTTTTTTTTTTTTTTTTTTTTTTTTTTTAACTACAATGCACACATGTAAAGGAATCTAGGGTAAAATAAAAAGCAAACTGGATGGAATTACCTGCAGGCATCCTCCATCCGACAAAATTAACCCAATGACATTTGCTTTCTTCAACTTTGGTAGAACTTCAGAAATATAAAAGGTAGGAGAAGTTGTAATCCTGGGCTTAAAAGTTGCCAACTCTTTTCTTCTCCTTGCATTCTTCAAGGTTGGTGGTAGCTCCTTCACTATGATCACATCATTTGCCAAGCTTGCTATGAACTTTTCCTCATCATAAAGATATGAAAAACTCCTAAATTTTGAACTGCAAAATTTTCAATGCAATACAAGTCTAAGACATAAAATAGAAATATACAACAAATGTGCTTAACATCTGTGCAAGTTAAAGCAAACCTGATGCCTTTCGACTGGGTACTTTGTTGGACCTCTGGAATGACAAGGGTAGCATTTAGAAGTCTTGCAACAGTGACCAGGTCACAGATCTAAGCAAATGGGTAAGATGTCACAACCTAAGAACTGTAGGGCATGAAAGCTTATGAAACCTTCTGAAGTTAGTATGAGCATACCGAGTTCCTAATCTTCTCGAAAGAACCAAAAATCTTGGCATAAATGAAGCCATTGTTCTCTACTGGAACTGAAAGAATGAAAACCAATTTCAGATGATAATAAAAGTGTATTTGAAGAAAAAGTGGAAAAGAGGTTCTAAGTCACCATCAAATGGTTAAAGGATAGTAATTAAATTTTAACATAAAGCAACAAAACCAAAACAAGAGAGTAAAATAAACATAGAATTCCAACATATAGTGTTAATAATTTAGCCTAATTGAAGGTCCTTGGGGCACCCATTGCAGCAATTGCCTGCCTAGAACACAGGATATTAGGTTCTCTTAGATTGTACATGCAAGTATAAAATAGAAAAACCAAAAAAAAAAAAAGGTATCATATAGGAGTACGACACATAATCAGGCAGGATCCATCACACAATTTGAAGCACAAGGCTAGTGTTTATTGTGCATATTACCTGGATATGTACTTCTTGGATCTGCAAAATGTTGCAGTGACTCCAAAGACTTGACATTTCCCCACAACCTCCGATATGCAGCACCCTTTTTGAATTTTGAAATGCCAAATCAAGCATAAAATAATATCTAATAGTACCATTATCATTAAGTGTACAATTTTTTGTTTACCTTTTTAATTGGAAGATTAGGAGTTAGCTCATCCGTAAAAACAGTGAAAGCAGTGTACTGTACAAGATCAGCACTAGATTTGGCTAAAAATAAATGAACCAGCAAGGAAACAAATGATAGCACCAGCCCACCTAGTGCCGCCCATTTTATCTTTGATTTCATTGCACTTTAATCAAACTCGAATCTGCAAATGTGATTCCTCAGTTAGTGCACTTGATTAAAGAGCACAGAAGAGAGATGCTTACAATCACAAGCAAAGGTGGTGGGTGTGTATGAGTTAAAAGTGATTATTGTTCCATAATTATGCAAAATTATTGTTTCGCTTAATAATGATTTAAGAAAATTCATTATGAACCTACATTTTGAATCAGATCTTAAGCCGGGTAGCAAACAGGAAAACATTAAGTATACATGGAAATAATAAAATCATCAGGGAGATGAGTCAGATAGCATACACATGTCACTCCTGGAAACTCCAAGAAAATCTTACCAGAAACATCAAACATGCACAGATTTCTACCATTATCTAAAAGAAATTATAGAATATTTGAAGAGTAACAGCTCCAGTACATGTAAAAGTTTTCTTTTGTGCATGTATGTGGTTGTCAAATTTAGTCTTCAAGTGAGAAGTGGAAGAGATCATCCAAAGCTCTGGTGGAATATATCTATAATCATCATAAATCCATTCCTTGAAACCCTGCCTCACCATCTCTTGAGATTCACCCTAAACATTACGAAAGATTACTATTTGTCAGTTTTACATGTCTCTGGCACTTGAAGATGTTACTATTTGCCAGTTAATCAGTTATACAGGTAAACCATCTTTCTACAAGTGCAAGACCCTGATGTAATGATAGTGTCCCTTTCACCTAATTTAAAACGACAGCAGGTGCTTTAAATTCACTGGATTTCTCATTTAATTTTCTAAATTGCAGTCACCAAGTGTTCAAATGTGGTCACCAAATTTAAAAAGACAGCAGGTGCTTTAAATTCACTGGATTTCTCATTTAATTTTCTAAATTGCAGTCACCAAGTGTTCAAATGTGGTCACTATACAAAAGAGTGGAAAACCAGACAATGAAAGAAAAGCAAGCAATAGAAGAAGATTCACATTCATTAGCCACATTGTAGTTCAAACTTTGATCAATATCAGAACCAGAGTCTTGAATTACAAAATTTGGGCCTAGCTTATTTCCAGCATATACATCAAACCAAGAATTGTACCACAAAAAGTCCAAATATCTTATTATCAACCAGCTGAATCAATGGCCACTACAATAACCAAATCAACGGCAAACTAGGCGGTAAAAGAACAGACAGTACCTCATAAGCGGTGAGGATTGATGCAAGGGATCGATATGGAAATGGGTGAGATCACAGAGCCTCCTCCGAAATATCCAATTCGAGAAAAGACGTTCTTTTAGATCCCAGATTGGTTCATGGTTTTCAATAAAGACTTGAGTGTCAGTGAGCAGAGCTGCCATAGTTGTGCCGACAACAGCTTTCGTGGTCAGATTAAAAAAATAAAATAAAAATCATATGCAAAATACAGCAAAAAATAACAATATAATAAGAATAAAACTTCAAATTGTGTAAATTACAAGCGCGATCTTGCGCTCCTAGAAATACACAGACAACAAACAAACCTGAAGCTTGAGAGCGACAGATTGCACGGCAATGGATCTGGGATTTCTTGAACGGCCTTGAACTGAGACTCAGAGAGAGAGAGAGATAGAGAGAGAACGTTTATGAGGAGAGAATCGAGTGCGAAGCGTCACGGTTCAGTAACATGGGTGATGGGTGTGACCAAGTGAGAGCTCAGTGGATTAACTGATTTTAGGGTTTTAACATTTCATAATACCAAATGTTCCATTTGGAATAAAATAGAATATAGAATAGTATAATAACAACAGTTAGAGGGTGAGTGAGATTTGGTGTGATTAAATTGCTTTATTGCATCATCATTTTTATTAAACTTTTATTTCTCTTGTGAGTTGTAATAAAAGTGGAATCGTCCACTCTAAGCGCCTTCATACTCTGAAATTTTTATTTCGATCTTTAATTTTTATTTTTATTTTATTTTGTGAATGAAGCAATTACAATTGATTGCAAATATTAAATGCAATAAATTTCAGTTTTAGTTTTCAATAATTGTGACATTGTCTTATTTAATCTTACACTTTTAATTTTGTCACTAGTGTTGCAAATATCTCGCCTATGCACCGATTAATCAACGCTTAAGCGCTAGGTGTCGACCGGCCGACTAAGCCGCTTAGACGCTGACCGCTTAAGCCTCCTAGGCACAGACTAGGTCGCTTAATCAGCCGGTTAGTTATTGTTTTTTTAATGGGTCATTTTACTCGAAACAACATCATTTTGAGCAAAATAATCCTCAATTGTTTAAAGTCTAGATGTTTTGAGGTTAATATTTAATATTTTAGTATTAACTATTAAAGTATTAAATAATTTATAATTATTAGTCTTAAAAATTTTAAAATTTTAAACAATTTTTTTTGAGATAATTTTAAACAAATTTTTTAAAAATAAAAAATACACGGGCGTACGATTTTTTCAACCATGTTTGTCACATAATATCCCAAATTTGATTTTCTTACTTGATCGATCGTATTTTGACATAACTTTGTGTACTTTCACCATTAACGAAAATGACTAAAATGTAACTTCATCATTCCTTCAAAGTCCAACCCAAAGCCACTTTTTTTTTTACTCCATTGTGACATTTCTCCCTCTCTCTTCACTTGTAAATTCTTCTAGTTACATTCTAAGAACTAGTGATGAAGTAATAAAATTATAAATTTTAACAATTAAAATTCTCACTAGAAATAACAAAAACTAATAAATAAGTTTAAGGTGAATATATATCTATACATATATATATATATATATATATATATATATATATATATATATATATTGGTATCATTATGAAAACTAAAAAATCATATCAAGACGAAATTCTCTAACCATATATTTGTCTATGAGTTGGGCATATGTATACACTAGGTGATCAATATATATATATATATGTAACTCGGATCTTTTTATAAATTAATAAATCAGCTAAAGACGAGAATCTCTAATCATATATTTGTTTATGTGTTAGATATATATATGTATATCAAGGCCTCAAGGGGTTGGGGGTACTTAGGTAATTCATCTCATTGTATTGTTACCTTATCCATTTGTGTGTATATGCAATATACATAAAAATATGCATGTGTTTTTTATATATATTATGAGGAGTACATTATGCAGTGGTTGTGTTTGATGTCCTATCCTTGTCTCTCCTTATGTCTGTGTACTGTGTACATGGCGTTAAAGGGGACCATTTTTTTTTATGTTTTTTATGGTGTTTTAATTATTTTTACATATAAGCAGTAACTAGTAACAACTAACAAAGAATGTAAATGGGGGCCACTTGACCCTTTTTATCCCCTTTACCTAAACTCTAGTAGTCAGTATACTTTTAAATAAAAATTTTAAGTTATATTCATACTATGATACTAGGAAACACTCGAGAATGGAAGTACACGTATTAGGTTGAAACAAGTACAGTCTGTTACTTTATGTTATATTATTTTATATTTCATCATATATATAGCATCAGATCACCTTGAGCTATTGCATGGTGGGAAGATGAACAATACTTAGCTTCAATATCAAGATATATAGCTAGGTAGGGGATGTTTGGCTGCGCGGGATTAGGTAAATGTTGATGAGTGAGGCTTCATTATTTTGACGTCACGTTTGGTTCATGGAATATAATTAAAAATTAAAATAGAGGGAATTGGAATAGAATTTAATAGATAGAAAAATTATTTCATTGTTTGGTTGAATTATAAAATTACACAGAAAAAAATATTCAAATGTTTCAATGGTTAAAAAATTAAATAATTAAATGACTAAATTACCCATACTCAAAATAATAAATACACATGTGTGCACAAACGACTGAAGCGAGCGTGTGTGTGTGTGTGTGTGTGTATATGTGTGTGTGTATATATATATATATATATATATATATATATATATATATATATATATATAGATTTCTAATCTGGTGAGAACACGGGGCTTAGGTGAGAACGTGAGGTTGATTTCTGGCCCTTGATTTCTATTGATCTGGCGGTGTTTTTTTTGTGTGGATGTATTACGGTCGGTTATTTTAATTTAATTATTGGGGGCATTTTAGTTATTTTGTATTTATTTTGTATTTTTACTTTTCTTTTTATAGCGGTGTAAGAATGTAAGATAGGGAATCCCGGTATTGTCGCGCGTTGTCTCCTTCTCTTGGTTTCGTTCTCTTACTGCAGTGGGAAGCAAAATTTGGCTTCGGAACGGGTTCGCGTAGGTTCTGCGTCGTCCTTCGGTTTCTAATGGCGGCAGGTTAGTTTGTTCTCATCTTGTTCTTCTTTTGTTGCTGTATTTTGTTCTCTGTCTCGTCTCATGCCAGGGGGATGGGGGGTTTATGGTGGCTATTTTGCGCAGGTTTTGTTTCATCGGGGGTCGGGGGGTTGATTGATGGCTAGCGTCCTTTTTTTTTTTTTTTTTTTTTTTTTCAACGAAACATTGTTCGTGCATGAGAGATGGGGTGAAACAAAACCGGTCATCGCGGTGCACCTAGGGTTACTGTGTATGTTCAAAGTTTTGCTTCCTAGCGTGCATGTCCCTTTAATGCAGTGCATCATCTCTGTATATATATCTCAATTGCATTCATGGTGTCATGGTTTATTCAATAATTGTGCTCTATTTTTTGCGGTGTAGGTGATCGCGGGGACGGATTGTTCGAGGATAGGTCAGTATGTCGCGTGGAGATATCGCCGGGGTCAACGAAATATTGGTGTCCTATTTCCGATGATGGTAGTAAGCCAGTTTTAAACCAGGTTTTTGAAACATTGGGTGGTGGGGTTGAATTTTATAAGAAATATGCTGCCGCAGTGGGGTTTGATGTTAGGCACAGTAGTAAAAAAACGGGCCGGGATGGAGAAGTTGTGTCGAAGTACTTGGTTTGTAGTCGTCAAGGGTTTAAGGCAGTGTCGGGTCAGAAGGCTAGAACTGTAGAGGGAGAAGGGGATGATGATGGGTCTGTGCCTGTGAAGCGGCGACGGATCTCTAATAGGGTGGGGTGTAAAGCTAGAGTTAGGTTTAAGAAGCTTCGTACTGGGGGTTATCAGGTGGTTTCTTTTGAGGATAGACACAATCATTCGTTGTGTTCTCCATTGTCTAGGCAATTCTTGAAGGCTCACCGTAAACTTGATTTAGGACATCAAATATTTGTTGCTAATTGTACGAAGGCGAATATTGGATCAAGTAAGTCTTTTAGGTTATGTAAGGAGTTTATGGGGGGTTATGAATATGTCGGGGCGACAAATGTCGATTTCCAAAATGTGAGGCGTGACCTTCGTGTATATATTGATGGGGGTGACGCGCAGTTGGCGATTGATAAACTCGTTGCGTTAAAGGAGAAATGTGCTGCATTTTTTTATAAGTATGACATGGATGAAAACGACCAACTACGCCGTGTGTTCTGGGCTGATCCGGTTGCAATCCGAAATTGCTCAATTTTTGGGGAAATTGTATCCTTTGACGCTACGTACTCGACTAATAGGTACATACGTAACTAGCCAACTGTGTTCTTTTCCTAACAAAGGTGCCTTTGTGTAGTATTAGTTAATAACTAAGTTAGTGATGGTTGTTTCCCCCTTTTTTTCGATACTCTGTATTAACCCATGTAGTGCGAACTAGCTGTGGGTGTAGTGCAAATATGGTTCTGGGCTTTTTTTGAGTGGTGTAAACTGGTAATTGATTATTCATGTTTATGTAGGTACAAAATGGTTTTTGTCCCGTTTACAGCTGTGGATAATCACAAGAGGTGTGTAACTGTAGGAGCTGGCTTGTTAACCAAAGAGGATATCCCATCTTACGTTTGGTTGTTGGAGAGGTTTAAGGAGGCGATGGAGCGTGTACCGGCATGCTTTGTGTCAGACCAAGACCCGGCTATGAAGGTAGCATTAGCTCGTGTATTCCCCGAGTCTCGCCACCGGTATTGTATGTGGCATATTATGACTAAAGTTAGTGAAAAGGTAGGGCCCTCATTGTCGAAGGATGAGGTCTTCCGGGGCAAGTTAAATGCAATTGTGTGGGATGAAATGCAGGACGCTGATGAGTTTGAGGGTAGGTGGCGTGGATTGATGGAGGAGTATGGTCTGGTGGATCATGCTTGGTTTACACAGTTGTGGGAGGCCCGATCATTTTGGATTCCTGCTTATTTTAAAGACATGTTCATGGGTGGATTAGTTCGTACTACATCTCGTTCTGAAGGGGAGAACAGCTTTTTTGGAAGGTATCTTTCCCACACATCTAGTCTAGTTGAGTTTTTCAGCCATTTTAATTCTGCACTAGAAGCTCAAAGGCATGCACAGTTGAAACTTAATGCCGAGTGTGAGGGACATTATACAGATTTAAAAACACCATTGGCTATAGAGCGTCATGCTTCCGTTGTGTATACTGTTACTGTTTTCTATGAGGTTCAAGCTGAGATCTATGCCGGGTGTTTCTCTTGTCGTGTGGTGTCTTTACGTGAATGTGGGGATGGCATTGTGTATGGGATAAAGGGGGATGATGACCATCAGTTTACTGTTCAGTTCAACCAGCTAGATAACAGTGCAACATGCAGTTGTTCTCTCTACCAGCGGATTGGATTGCTTTGTCGCCACATTTTTATGGTATATAAAGATGCTCAGGTTACAAATATCCCTAGTTGCTATATCGTTGCCCGTTGGACAAGAGAAGTTTGTTTACAACCTGTGTTTGAGGTCAATGGTGAAATAGTTGACTTAATCGCTGGGTTAGACAGTACTCAATCATTAGTTAAACGATTGTGGTCTGAGATATATTCGTGCGTGGGATTAGCAGGTTCCAATAATGACCGTGTGTTGCAACTCACACGGGTGCTCCAACAGCAGAAGGATGCTTTTATGGGGGACGGAGATGCACCGATAGGGTCGAGGGGTAACAATCCGATTATCCAGGCGTTTTGCGGCGCGGCCCCATCAGTGGCGGTTTCTATCAAGCCACCTGTTGTGGCAAAAAATAAAGGGAGTGGGAAGAGATTGAAGGGGGGTAAGGAGAAATCTATTCAGGCTAACTTGAAGGGGCGGCGGAAGTGTCATGGGTGTGATAAGTATGCCGGTCATAATAGCCGAAATTGTCCAGTTTTGCTAGCTTTGAAAGCAGCAGAGAAGAATGAAGTTTAATAGACATAGCTAATCTTTCAATCTGTACATATATAAACCATAATTTAATACTTTCTCTATTCGCCTCTTTTGTAGTCTATTCATATTGTGTCATTTAGCATAAATGGCAAATGCACACCACAATTCAATATTAGATTTTTTGGAAATAATAAATACGCATCTTCAGCTATGCCATAACCTACTGTGGGATTAATATTTTTTCACCTTGCGGCAGTATTGATAATCAAGCATGCAGTGCAACCTCTGGAAATAACAAATGCACAAATACACACCACAATAGCGTATTAAAAATTGCTTGGAAATAATAAATACCCCTTTTGTTTTCAAAAAAAATAAATAAATGCCCCTTTTAAATGAAATACCCCGTACTAAGTACTAACTAGTATCAAAATTATTGATGCACTGCATAATTTGGTAATCTGCATGGGTTGGCACTTGGCAGTAATGTAAACTACACCCACAGTGCAAACTATTAAAACCAACAGTGCAATCTCAAAATCCAAATGAATCATTATCACATACCCGTGCGTGTAATGCTTGAAAACAATGTCAGACCACCTCAATACAATTTATCTGCCAGTACCATTAACAAAAATCTAAACTGTTACAACACTAAACAGTGTACACTAAAATTCTACGTGCTTGGGAAACAGTCGTTATACAACTAAGCCAAACATAGCAGAATACTGACTCAGCGTATTCAGATATCGTACGGTCTTGTATGCTTGATAATCGACTCTCTATGATAGTTCATATCTGACATTAGTATGTCATGCATATATTTTTGCCGAAGATTATGTAGCTGCACCATGTTCCCTTTTTCAATCCCACAATCCCATGCATGGGAAGCTTCGCCCATATACGTTTCCATGTGCCTCATGGCATATATTCCACTGTCTACTTTGTTTGTTGTCTCGCGCCACGGCATCCTCATTCTTGTAGGCTTCAAGTTGCTCACAATGGCAGCCTTAAGCCCCTGTTTCTTCTTCTCTAGGTACATGGACAGCATATCTAGCTGGTTCACACCAAAAAAACAATAAAAATTGTATACAAATTTCCGATAAAACAAACCAATAAAACTGTATTTTAAAAATGCATGTGCTTAAATCTTGGCCGGTATATTTGCACCACACTCAAGTGGGAATTGCACAAGCACATGTAGGGAGATGCACTACTGTAGTCAGATTGTTGCGCATGCCAAATTCATAAATAAAATTAGACTCCATTGCATTAAAATTGACCAAATTAAACTGTATTAAAAAAATCATGCACTTAAATCTTGGCTGATATATTTGCACCACACAGAGATGGGAATTGCACCACCACAGGCAGGGACTCGCACTACTGCATACAGACTATTGCAAATGCTAAATTCATAAATAAAATTAAATTCCATTGTAATAAAACTAACCAAATCATTTGGAATTTCCTTGTACTTCTCTTTCTTAGTCGAGACAGATGAATTATCTATAATATCAAACCGACGAGCCCGTGTGTTGATGCACACAACGTAGTAGTGATCCTCGTGTAGAATAGGGAAGAAAAACTGTTCACAATTTAAATAAATTCAGAATCAGGTGTCCAAATTAATTCAAACCATATAAAACAGCATTATGGGGACAAAAATAAAAAGCTTGTGCTAACCAGTTCAACTGTTGCATGGTTGATGTGAGGAGCAAGCGCCAAGTCCCCATCCAAGTGTTTAATAAACCACTTTAACTGGCTATGACGGTTAGTGGTTGCATTCACAACAGTTTTTAGCTGGATGGGTACAAGAACACATTCATGCGCAGTAGAAAACATAAACTCAAATGGAATGTTGGGTGAACAAACTACACCAAATAAAGAATCAACCAGTGCAAACTGTATACCGTTAAAACGTGGAGTTTAAGATAGTAGTCTATTTACGTACCGTTGTATTTGTAGAAGCAAAGAAACGACTGGGCCTGTAATTCTTAATCCTTTTTTCCTTCTCATTCAGCACACAACTCCAGCAATCCAGTACGCCTACACGGACTTGGGTATCAAACTGCAGCGACAAAAAATCTTCCAAGCGCCCAATTCTCATGTTGTAGGCGAACATCACCTCATTGCTAGCTCGCAGTTGTGCAGACAAGTTAGATACCTGGTCATGATATCTACCAAAAAAATGTGTATAGGGGCCAAACTTACTTGGTATGTTCATTGTGGTTGAACACCCAACGCCAAAGGACAATCTGTGATGGCGTGTACACTTCATGCGTTTCCTTTGAACCAGATTTAACTCCAAACCTGTTCAACAGGTTTGCACTGACCAGATCTGTATTCCAAGCCCTTTTCTCAGGGGGTGCTTTCTTCAAAGGCGCCATCCCTAGTATAACCCCTCTTGCCCCGCCCAATTCAACCGTGGGGGGCTCTTCAAACCCATGCCATTCATGTCTCTCTTGCGTTTGTGTTAGGCCTAAACTAAAACTTGGTATGTCGTCCAGCTCTCCATTTCGCTTCTTTGCATTCTCCCTTTCCACCGCATCAGCAAGTTTGGCAGCGTCAGCCCAAAAGGCGTCATCCTCTTCAGTGCTAGTAAGCTCAGGTGGCGTGCCATCTTTCCTTTTTAGTCCTAACAGCTTTTCTGCTGATTCGAGTACCAATTTGAAGTTCATGTCATCATATATCTCTTCCCGACCATCATTCACCATTTGCACAAGCTCATCAACTGTCGCTGCTAGTACTTTTGTGGTAGCAGCAAATCTTTCCATAAAACTCTGCAAAAAAACCACCCGGTATGCAAGGAAACTTATATCACACATGTTGTTACCCATACCCTAGTACTTTAGTCTAATCGTGCAAACAAGGTACTAAGCAACTTAACAACATTTTCCACATCTAGCATTACCTGGTTGTGTCTCGTCGGGCTTGTCAAACATCGGTCTTCATTTGCACCACTTGGTTCCCGCAACGGAATGTCGACTAACCCCAGCCCAAAGCCACCACCCCTAATCTCCATGAATTCTCGCTCCTTCATTAGTTTAGATGTCCAGCCGATAAAGGCAGGAATAGCTCTTGGGATGCCCCGCGCTCCAACCACCACTCTATCCAAGTAAAACATCTGCAATATGTCTCAAAATAGAGTAGCAAACACAATGAATAACGCAGAACTGTTTGACGCATTTTAATCTAATTGGAAAGATTCTGCTCACTTACCGTGAGGAAAAGCACTGGGCCAGTAAATCGCTGCATTATGTCATCCACCCAATCATGGTGGGTTTTAACTAACCGCTTTAGTAAATACCCACACCAATCCAACTCCCGGATCCTTTCTACATCGTCCAAGTGGTGTAAGAACTGCTGATTTGCGTACCCGTTCTGTGTGCTTTCAATAAATATGGTCGCCACGGCCACAGAGAAGTGGCGCTTGAACCAATCTCCCCCATCCCTACATGACGACATGACCTCACAAACCTTTGGCAGTGTAACTGTACTGTCCCTTTTCCCCATCTCACCACGCCAGTCACTCAATTCACGGCCGACCTTCTGGCTCGGCCGACACATAATCTCTGTTGTGCCTAATGGCATCCCAAGGGTTGTTGCTACATCTTCTTTAGTGATTGGTATTGTTTTCCCACCGCTAAATTCGAGTGAAAGGTTCATCGGGTTCAGGTGTGTCACCAACCACCGTCCTAGCCGCAGTGGGGGGTCGGTAATTTCTAGCATCAACACACCTGACATCCCTATCTCCTCAACAGCTCGTTTTTGTCGTGCACTGAAATCTTTTATTGCACGCACAAAGTCTTTAGATGTGCAACGGGTATTAAATGATGGGAACCTTGATTGCTCATCCAAACTTAGTTCTAGATTAGCAGTATGTTTTTGTGGACTATCTACAACATTTCTTGCTTCATGACTCAACCTATTTGAAGGGTGACTAACTATGCCATCATCGGGCACTGTTTGATCACACTGTCGTTTTGAACCTGAAATGGAATAAGTAAACAAAGTAAGCGTACCCACTAACCCACTATTTAGTGGTAGATAGGCATTTAGTGTCCGTGAGCTGCATCAGGATGGTACCAATAAAAGATAGTGTGAAGACTGAAGCATATAGGATGCTTCTAGAATAGAAACCAAAATACATCAAAAGTGTATACACAACAAACTGATTAGTAGAAATTGGTGCTTTTAATTTGTGCATAAAAAAATCCTATCCCAGTACCCATGTGTTCTAGAATGAGGAACCAGGAAAACATCGGTCATTCGTATGGGCGTGCGTTTGGTGAGTACTAGAATACAACACTTGTTTAAAATTCCAGCATCAACGCACACCATGCCCCTCGTGCAACCACACCTCCGTCTTAACAACGCCCAGAGATGCAAGATAAACCAGCACTGTAACCCAACTCGTAACATATACGGCTTTAACCTCAACTTTACACATTCAAAATCCACCCCTTCCCAATTTTTTTCCCCTTTAAAAAAAACAGAGAAAGTTGAATGGGATTGTCGGACTCTACCTCTGTCCATGGCGCCGTCGGGATTCCGCGTTCCTGGACCACGTTTACGCAAGCCGGAGGACATGGCGTGTTCGAACCTTGGTTTTGCACAGCTCCTCGGAGTTCGTTGTTTAAGGTGTCGCGTCGGATGGGTGGTATTAGGTGGCTTTGTTGCTGTGCAATTCGTTTCAACGAAGGATATAAACTTCGTGATTCCCGGACTTTTATTACCAAAATTACGGATACACCCTTAGTTTAAAATCATAACCCACTAATAAATCTCTAAGATCCCCAATTTTAGTGTAATCGTTACTTCAATCCTGGCCGTGCAAAATTTAAAATTAATGGCCAGAATACAACCTCACGTACTCACTTAACCCTCTGTTCTCACCTGATTGGGAACCTATATATATATATATATATATATATATATATATATATATATATATATATATATATATATATATAAGACGAATCAGGTGAGAACTACATGCCAAGAGGAATAAGAACACATCGCTTTAGATAAGAAACACT